TTTATTAGTTAAACATACTAAAGCGGTTTTTTGCAAGTCGACTAAAACTAAGAATTACGTGGGACGCCTGGAAAATGGAAGTCGAGTGGCGCTGTGAGCGGTATCAGCAAGGCAGTTTATGAGGTAATACACAGACCTGAGAATATCTCTATAAAATTTCAACTTTCTAGCTACTCTGGTTACTGAAGTGAAAAGCGGATGACAAAATACGAAGAAATACATAAACGCACACGCACATATACAGGCATACACACACACACACACACACACACACACATACATACACACATGACCTACTGACAGTGTGAATTTCTCAATTATAAAAGACGCAAAAAAGTAAAAAAATGATGCGCTTACGAAGTGGATACGACGATTTGAATAGTTGCAGCTTAAAGGACTCAAAGTATTAATGATGGCCACTGGCAGGACTATATTAGTAAAACGAAATCTTACCATACTGCACGAAGCCAAGTTTCTGTAGCGTGTAATCCTTGTCGGTGTGACCCTTCAAATCCTGAGCCACTAGACGCGTCACTGCTGTGGACCACAAATCTGTAGCATTCTGCTCATTCTCAATTTCTCCGTCAATAATCCGTCGTCCATCACGATTGTACGCAATTTTTCGCTTCTAAAACACATACGCAATTTAAGGATTCACAGGATTCGAGAAATTTTTTTTCTGAAAAAATTCCAAATTTATTAAATTAAATGAAACGATATTTGAGGACTTTGAGAGCAAAAACAATAATCTTATTAGTGTTTGTTAACGAAAAATTTACACGGAAGAGGTGTATCCAGCCCCAAATAAAAGCATCGATCAACCTGGATCAAAATGCTTGATTTTCAGGCCCACTTCCGTACATTTCTTATTAAACAGAATTTCCTTTTCCATTTCAAGCCTCGCTGATTTGAAATTTTGGAGTATTTTGAGGCCTTCTGGGGCAGAACATCCCATATCGCCCAATTCTTTCACGGTTTGTTTCGAGATGGGTTTTTTTAAAAAGGTATGAAGGTAGATCGAAATTCAGTGGTGAGCAGCTAAATCATTTACGCTTCTCTGGTGGCACGGTTTTCTTGCAACATTTCAACGCCGTTCACATTCGCAAAATGAAGATGTTATGGTAATTAATGCACAAGTGAGGAAGTGGGCCCGAAAAAAAATGCGGCAGAAAGAACCGGAAAAGGCCACAGCTGCATAGATGAAGAATCAGTTAGCGTGGACTAACAGCGATTTCAGGTGTTTTGGTTAGGAAATGTGATGTTTTGTTTGGCTAGATCAAGGCGAAATAGCTAATTTATCCTATGGAATTAAATAACTATCTTTTATCCTATGGAATTAAATAACTATTTTAACTAATTTAATTAAAGCTTTCTTTTTAGCACTTCTCGCTCATTGATTTAATTTCAACTTCTACTTCACACCTTCTAATCAATCCCAAATGTTATGGTTCACTTTCAAAGACCTGTGTGGGAAAGTATATAATAAGCACTTGGAACACAGAGGAAAGTACATAATAAATAGGGCTCACGTACGGGCACGTGAAAACTATGGCGGGAAAATTCATAACTCGCGAATGAAATAAATGGTAACGCGCACCAGACTAGCCGGTGCGACCATGCGTTTTGTGCAATTCAGCCCATCGAAACGATATTTGCCTGTTAATGATTTTCACTGCTTTGTACTTTAGTCTATGCAAAAATAGTTCAAACATTGAAAACCAGACGTAATGATTTTTACTTCCTTGTACTTTAGTCTATGCAAAAATAGTTCAAACATTGAAAAACAGTTAAGCCTGTTAATGATTTTCACTGCTTCGTACTTCAGTCTATGCAAAAATAGTTCAAACATTGGAAAACATTTAAAAATTTCACGCACCTGCGCATGAAAGCAGAATTCGAAACCTTGAAGGATGAATATCTTTCCGTGATTCCTGAGTTAATAGTTTATCCGTCAAAACTTTCATGAGGCCGTAGGTGGTGACCGAGAGCGCGAGAACGCTGAATTTGAATGGGCAAGGTTGAGCGGGCAGGGGGTCATTATTCTTAAATTTCAACCTCCTAGACTCCGAGGTTCCTGAGATATTAACTTACCCATGAAAAAATTTCACGGGGCCGTACATGTTACCCGCGGGTAACGGAAGG